GAAGTATACTTTCTACTTTGCGATGCGATTCCAAAATTCATTCTAGACATATTTTAGGGTATACTTTAGACGTAGGTTGATTGAGTTAATTTTTTAAACCTTGCTTGCTAAAAATCATTAAATAATTTGCTTAAGATAAATTATTTAACTATATGATTTGTTGTATTTATAGTATAATAGTAAACGGGGCTTCCAATGCATATGCTTATGCTTGATACCCCTATCAACAAATTAATTGAATAAGCATAAATAAATAAAAATATTTAAATTGTTTCTTGTTTTAGCTTTCAAGCAAATAATATGCTTTTTCGTTCCACCAGATTTCAATTACGGAAATAACGAAATTATTGAGAAGATTCCTTGGAGCAATATCAGTTCTATCTACTCATGAAATATAGAGAAAATTTGTATTCATAGTTTCTGTTAAAAAGTATGCTAGTCCTCTCGCTGCGTAATTTTTTTCATTAAAATAAGTTCGAAACTTGCGTATTTTATATAGATATTTCAAATCAGATGATTGTTCTAAAAAAAACACGGCTTTGGAATCTTCCTACAAATTTCAATGTTTAGTATTTGTTGTTTAGCAAAACAAGACACTTTTCTGATAATAAATTATACTATAATATCTTGTGAATTGTGCTAAAGTTGAAAAATAGTTTTAAAAGTATATTTTTTCAACATCTTTTTTAAAAAAAAGAGCAGCTTCCTTAAAGTTAACGATGTAATATATAAGTCTAAACGTCATAATAAAATTGAGGTTTGAATTTGCTCATTTAAAAAACGAAGCAAACTATTGAGGTTTTTTGATCTGTACTAATATATATTTACTTTTAACAAATCAAACAAATAAGAAACAAAAAAGTAAATAAATAAATAATTTATTTGTTCATTTTTAGAGAAAAAGGGTGCATTTATTTATTACGATCAGCTAGACGTTTGCACCGAGTAATTTTTAAAAATGTAATTTTAATAATAAAAAATGTTCTTAAACTCTTATCATCTTACTGGCTGTAGTTCTGAGACTAAAAAAAATGCTTGACAATCATTTAAAAGAAGTGTTAATTTAAAGAAAAATAATAAGTACTAATAAAACGAAATAGATTTTTATATTACCGGGAAAAATTCTACGTGGTAGCTTAAAGAAAGAGAAAAAATATATAATGAAGTAACTGGTTGAATAGTTCTGTGAATCACTCGTGGTCAGGTAATTAAAAATTTAATTTTAAAATTAAGATGTTAGGACGATATATGGGTGATTCTCGCGAAATATGGCAATTCACTGTCCCTTGCTCCAAGATCTAATACTATAATACTAAAAACTTCTTTTTAAAAAATTAATAAATAGCATTGCTGTTAGCATTTTAAAATGACTTTGCGATAGCATGAACTGTTTTATATAGTTAAAAAATTTAATTGAACTTCAAAATTTCATGTTTCCGGCTTGTCACAAACAATGTTTCCAATAATAACTAGCTTCAAAACTTCCCATAAACTTTTCAATATCTAATTTTTTTTATCTCAACCGGTGTAAGCATTTCTAGAATATACGCAGAGGGTATTATTTACAAAATCTTCGTTTAAAATAATTTTTTCTGTCAATGATTTGTTTGTCCCAAGAAAATCTGTCCTTTTCCTCGCTACTTTTATTTAGTGGTTTATAACCAAAATAGATAGAGCCGACAATCAATATCTTATGCTAATAGATTGATTAGATACCCTCCTATATAAACATGTCTTGTTGCATGAATAAAGAACCAATTTTCTGGTTCAAAATCTATTTCAAAAAATTTTTCAAGGTGAGTAGGTTTTTGCGCCGTCATTTTCCTAGCTTCTTGAAATCATTAATAACATAAACTACATAGATTTATCTGAGTTATTTTAAGAAATCCTGTTGTTTTCTGCAGAATATAAACGTCTTAGTCCAAAATATTAAATTAAAGTAAAGTTATATGCCATAAAATGGCGAATTTGTCATTATCCTGGCTGTCATTTTCCTGGCTTATGAATGCCAGGACATGGAAGTGATACCAGAAATTTTTTTTAACTGCTAATACTGTAAGAAGGGAAAGCAAATATTAACGTAATACCAATTTTATGTATGATTGTAATATGCTTGGATGTAATCAAAGTTATTTATTTATTTAATGATTGATTATTATACATAATTTTATTCTGTACATATCAGCAACAACAAAAAATTTTGATTCTTTCTACATAGGATAAAAAGAATTAATTTAAGCAATTTATGGTCCATCTAACATAAAGGCTTAAGTTGAGTTACTTACTATTAACTTAAAATGACTGTTCTTAAAACTTCTAAATTAATATGTCATTTTCCTGGTATTCAAGATTTGGTGAATTTTTATTATATTTTTTTTCTCGAGCAAATGTCAATAAACTACACTGCTGTCTGCAAGATATTAATAAGTGTAGCTAGTAAATAAGTATGCAAAAAAAATTTTAGATCATTTTGAAGAGTTTAAATTTGAAGAAATTTTTCCTTCCGAATTGTCATGTTAAGAAAGAATCACCCATATATAATACTGAAATTAAGACGATTAAAAAATTTCGCTACGCATTCGGCATTTCCTTATGTTCGGTACATTTATACTCATTGTAGTGGCTTTTAAAACATCAACAATATTACAGTTAATCATCGTTGATGTCGCAAGAATTCGGTTCAAGACGTATAAAGATATCTTTTACATAACTAGTATCTTCGTCCATATTTAATTGTTTAATTATTAAAACATATATCGAATAATTGATAAATATATTATCCCTAATAAATGCATACTTATGCACTTTACTGAAATTGAATCAATTGTTGAATGAATCAATTAAAAACTAAAATTAAAAAGAGCAGATGCATATCCACATTGAATCAAAAACATGTTTTTATAAAATTTGACATTTGTTAAATATAATATTTCGCTAAATTAAGTATAAATTAACTAACGACTCAGAAAGAAACATCGTATTTTATTATGAAAAAAAGAAAACAATATCGAATCAAAACAACGAAAAATCATGAAGGAAATTTAGGCTAGGCTTGCATAAGTCAAGTTTCTTGTAAGTTTATCTAATTTAGGCATCAGTCGCTTCACTAAAATATGTTTTCATTATCGCAAGTTATTTTTTTAAAAATAATTAATTTTAATTTTTCTAAGCTTCTGCTTAATAAAAACTATTGAAATTTTGATTTCACTGTAGAAAGATATGTATATTAATATGGTATAAAAAATTCATGGCTCATAATTCAAAATTTCCAGTATTAAATTAAATAATTTATAATTATTAAAAATTATTTTTTTCACGAAATTGTCTTTGGGTAAACGAGTTTCATGAGTAGGTGCATTCTTTTACTTCCCATATTCTGAGGGTCAGAAATCCAAATATGTAAAAAAAACAAATCTGTTTATTGAGAGAAAGTGCGTTTTACTGTTTTATTTCGTAACTTATTTGATAGTTAGCAATAATTCATTATCATATTTGAAGTCACCCCCAGGAACCATTAAGATTGGCACTCAGTACGTGAAAATCTGATCATTAGAACGAAAGTTATTCAGGGTGATATTTTTATTTTGCGCACTGTACACTCATGTTTTTTTTAATGTAATTTGGCAGAAAAGTTCTTGGCAGAATATTGTACTAATAATTTTTTGTAGGAATTATTATTTTGTATTGTTCTTTTTTCTTACAAATCTGAAAAGAAAGATAGACATCAAAAAAATTTTATATTAGTATATATTTAATAGTTGAAAATACTTTATTTTTATTAATGTACTGAAAAGAAAAGAGCTAAAGTTATTTTTGAAAATAATCAATGCTATTTTAAAGTTTTACAATCTTAAGGGTAAAAATAATTTGTAATTTATTTTGCCTTATTTTTATATTCTATGCGTTGTTTATTTGTAAGTAAGTATAGTATTTATGTTTATATTATTTCCATTATAAATTCAAATATTCTGAAAAAACTCTTTTGTACCTATTTTAAAATAGCAATTTTATAAATGTGCCATTGAATTATTTATGTGTATCTTTTCTTGCATAATATGACATATTTTTCTCGTAACCGTTTACTCGTTCAAATTTATCATTTCTCTTTCTTCTAATAATAGAATTAAATCAAATATTTCATTATATATTATAAAATAAGAAATAATACTTTTGAAGGAGGTTCATTCTTTTGTTATATTAAAAATCGTTTAACAGTTCAATCATGATTTAAAAGGGAAGGAAAAACTTCATCATTTTCTATTTTTAAATGCAAATAATATTACTTCATGAAAATATAAGTAGTCCTTCATGTTCATCTTAAAGCGCGATAAATAATGTTCATTTATTCTAATAAAAAGCTAAAAATTCCCCAGTTAAAAAATTTTAAGTATCAATAAATTAACTAAACCAAAAATATTTCACTATGCTCAAAAAAGATTTGAACTAATAATAAAAGATTTGAACTTATGCAAATCTGAACTGAAAACTGGTGACGTTACAAACTTATTGAGAGGCCTTGACTCACAAAAGTCTAATGAAGGATATTTACTCTAATCCGCAATACGTTTTGATACACGAAAAATGTAAGTACTTAAATCATTATTCTGAAATTATCACTTACAGTATTATATTTTTTACGAAAACTGACAATAATTTCATTTAAGGGCAATTGGCTATGATTTAAGTGTAGTTATTATTTAAGTGTAGTTATTATTGGATAACTGAGAATACATAAATAAATAAGAATAGATAAATAAATAAGAATAGATAAGCGTAAAAGATCCTTCCTGGTTTTATCACAACTGTTGCTTAAAATTAAAGTATACAAGCAAAATGATATTGAAAATACATAAAAACAAATATAATTAGCATCATTAATGGCTAATTTAGTAAAAAATTAATATTTATTATTTTTTTAAATATTTTGTTGAATTGAGTACAAACTCTTCTAGCTTTATCTCATCTACTCTTAAATTAATTTGAGTCAAAATAATAAATACCTCTAAGCTTTGTATATTTTCCATCGCTTTCTGCTTTTCTGTTTCATTGGATATTGTTTTGATTTCTTCTTGTTTTGTTTCAAGTTCTGTTGTCGCCGCCAATTTCTGTTGCTCCAACTTTTTTCGCCTCTCGTCAGCATCTCGAATTTGCTGTGAAGAATTAAAAAAAAACTTCTTAAAGCATGTCAATCGTCTATACAGATCTTTCTTTCTACTGATACTATCTTTCGTTTCACTGCTTATTTTGAGATATTTAATGATCGGTATTTCAGGAGAGAATCGTTGCTAAGCAAATGAGAAGTGTTTGATATTTTTTTCTTTTGACTTTGTCTAACGATACTAGACTTTTCCTCATGATTGCTGAGCAATTGTCTTGTCTGACAAGGAACTAAATCAAAGTCTCGTTCTAAAATCAAGATGATTTTTTTATATATAAATGGCTTTTATTCTTTTTGTTAGAAAATTATCTATATAAGATATTGTGCCTAGTTTTCGTTGATCATGGAGATACAAATTAGTGCAAATGCACGTTCAGGCGAAAAAATTTGCAAGAATTGCAGAAATAACGTTAAATTCGCTACAACATATACAGTTGGTAGAATCCCGTTCATACTTAAATAAATTTTAAACGATTTCTCTTTGAGTTCAGCATAAAAATTATTCTTTAAAAAAACATTTAAAATACAGAATTATGCAAAAACTACGCAATTTAATACACAAAAAAATTAAATTTTTTATTCTATATTTGAATTTAACCATGTAAGTTTTTAACCTTTTAATTGCTTTTTAAATTGTTAATTTCAACTAGAAATGACTAATTCATTATAAAACTTGAAGCATTTGATCATTTATTAGATAATAAGTATTATATGAAATAGACTACATAATTTTTATGCAATCTAGCCTCACTATAATGAACCCGGGATATAGTGAACATTCGGTTCTTTTGAACGTTTTCAGTGGTTTCGTCCGAATAATTTTCTAACTAATGTTATTTCATACGCTTATAGTGAGCTGCTAAGAAATTGGTTGAGTTCACTTATAATGGACTCCTTTTTGTAGTTATTTAAATAACTGTTTAAAAGCTCAAAAGTATGTAATTATGACTATTAATTAAAAGGGAAGAAATACTCATTATAAAGCAGCGTTTCAAATGAGTCACTTTGCTTAAGTGAATAACATGCGAGAAGCAAGTACATGAGAGAGCGAATCAGTTGCATAGAAATTCCAACTTTGAGTTGCAATATTTTTTCAAAAATAACTGCAATAAAAAATATAAACAGTAAAAAAAAATTCCAAAAATGGTGAAAATTAAGAAGGGGAACGTTTTGAAAATTCGTAATGAATGAACAAACACTTCGGACAAACTCGGGGCACTTCATTGGAAGGCCAACGGTCTATCCCCTGAGCCATTACGGCTCCCTATGTTACATAAAAATAGGCTCAGAAAGGCTGTTTTATCGTAATTCAATTATTAGGTAAGCTTGTTCAGTTAGTCACCAAATCATTAAAATACGGTAAAACAGGTACTACTGAACGTATTTGAAAGGAGTTTTTGACAGTAATTTATAGAAAACAAAAAATTAAGATAATTTAGATAAATAAAAGCATGCTCGAAGGCACGCAATGTAGCAGTTCCTAATAGAAATGCGCCCTTAGCGGCATACTATAGCATATATATATATATATATATATATATATATATATATATATATATATATATATATATATATATATATATATATATATNATTATAGATTAAAAAAATTTAAATATAGAAAAATACTTTTATTTTAAAGAAATAACATACCTTTACCTATATACTTCATTGATTTTCGTTATTACATAAATAGTTCATTATATTCGTCTTCCGCTATCAATTACAATTATTAAAATTTTTTTGTATTATAATTACAACTTTTTTTGTATTATCTGTAAGGTGGGACCTAAACATGTCCCACTCTAAAAGGCTTTCTGGTTTTCTTACGCAACCAGGACGGATTTGCCAGATGTTTTTTACCCACAATTTAGCACCATTTTTGTCCATCCAGAATCACATTATTGCTCTTTCAATTCTACCCTCACATACATGTCAAATTCAGTTCTTTTATTTTTGCGAAAGATAGGGAAAAATACTTTTTATTTACGATCTTGAAAGATGAGATATTGCACATGTACAATCCAAATTTTCGTGCGCGTTATACGAAGAGTATATCTTAAAAGTTAAAAAAAGTAATTAGAAATTACGGGTGCGCGTTATACGCCGGGGCGCGTTATGCGCCGGAATATACGGTACTATCTACTAATTCAAAAGATGAGTTTCTGTTGTTTAAAAAACAATTTTTCTCTTCTTTCTTACTATTTTCTTTTTTTCGTTGAAAATGATATTCAAAATTACAACAATTCTTGGGCTATATACAACAAGCCTAATGTACGCTGGGGCCATAAAAATGTCAATTTTTATGAAAATTACCTATATATTATTTGGATTAATTTAAAAAAGAGCTTCAAAGTTTATTCCAAACGTGTTTTATTCCAAACTTGTTGTAGGATAAAAAACAACTATGTTTTCAATGGATCAAAACTTCTATAAAAGGTCTTCTTAAATTAAAGATATATATGATTTTTTTTTAATAGAGAATGTTTAATAAAATTTTTTTGATTGAAGGTGTTGTGAGGATTCTATTGCACCAAATTGCAAAAAAAATTTGTTGCAAAATAAATGTTTATTTGTATTTCAGAAAGCGCTAGAAAATTATTTTGCCCTAAGGCTAATAAATTTTGGTTCTTTATGGTCCAGGATGGGCCTATGTGTATTTGATCAGAAGTATCGTAAAAATGTAAAATAACAATACAGCACCCTTTCAAATTTTAGCAAAAATTAACACGATGCTATATTGGATAAAAAATGCTTATATCTGATAAATGAAATGGGGGTGAAAAGGAAAAAAATGGGGGTGAAATTTGATAAGAACTAAATGTTACTGAATTCACCTATATAAATAAAAATTAATTCAAGTACATTTTTTATCCCCTTATTCATGCTTAATTAATCTGAAGAAATTTAGAAAATAATGAATATGGAAGTTAAAATTGCTGTATATAAGCAAGCACCAGAAAGCTACAGACAATTCTTTGTCGCTCACTTGAGAACCGCAAGTATTGATGGTGAGGTAATATATTTCGATTCCAAATGCAGTTACAGTTGACAAAACTATAAAATTTTGGGATTCAAATTTTTCCGACAATTTATCTCAGCGCTTAGTACTGATGTACTCATGTCGACTTTTTTCAGATCAGATATAAATTGCATTTTAAAACCAGTTCATAGTCTAAAACAGGGGTTGGCTATCCTTTTTAAGAGTAGTGCTACTACCTGAAAGTAAATATATGGGTGCCACTTTTTTGTGCCAATTTTTCTATCATAACTTTAAAATAATAAAACGGTGAAAAAGATTTTATTTGAAGTTTTATAATGAGATTCTTACTCAAATGTCAGCTGCTCATTTAAGTCTGAGTAATAAAGATTTCTAAAATAAATTAAGTAAAGCAAAAATACAAACTTTTGCCTATAAAATCTAGCCTGACAGAAAGGCTATTCTTGTTTAAAAGTGAGTTGATATCAAGAAAAAAAATCAACCCTTCAAATCTAATGAAATAAGATGATAATGAGATGCTAGAGTTAGAATAGAAAGTTTTAAATTGAAATGTTATGAAAGCAAGAATATTTTTTTTTATGATTTGTTCTTTTTGATGTTTAAATTTGTAAAATGCTTGCACTTTTTCTATTTTGCTGGGCCATTTCATTAGAATATTCTTATGCAAGGAATAGTCTAGCATGTGAATTGAATTCTAATACAGTTAAAATAAGTGAGTGGACAAAGCTGCAAACTAATTTGATCCAGAATTTTAAAAATAGTAAAGAGATATTAAAAAAAAATTATTTAAAAAAAAGTTTATTTCCTTATGCACGGTGAAAAAATTCAGGTAAAATTACAGTACTTTATGGTAACGGCATTTCCGGTTTAAAGAAAAAAAATAAATGAACAATTCTGGCAATAATAACCCAAATATACGATACCTAAACATTTGGTAATTTTTCCGTTCATATGGAAACGGTTAACCAGAGATTCTGGTTTTCAAAACTACAGTTTTCATTTACACACACATTTAGTAGAAAATGCAAAACTGAAAAGCAAAATTTACAGAATAAATGGCTTATATGCCATGGTTCAAGGTTTGATGATAAAATTAACACATTTTTGCCCCATTTACCAAATTTTATCACATGTTATAAAAACCTATTTTACGTTTAATTTTATCAAAAGCATTACCGAAGAACTTCGGTAAAAACTATCAAGCTTTTTAGTATTCACGCAGCACCAGAAGCACAGTAAATGTTATCATATTCTAGTAGTTTTGGGCATACACTTTTCCTAGATGTACTTGGTTATGAGTCAAAGCTCATTTTGATTCAAAGTATTCTGTAAAAAAGTGTTTGTGAAAAGTTCAGCAAATTTTTTTCAATTCGAAAATCAGCAAAACTAGCATTGAATGAATCTTGTAAATAGATATTAAAATTTTAAGTGCATGCTGTTCCACCTTCTGGCCCTACTATATTCTACAGCGTATTATAAGGTTCTTAGATAGTTGATAATATTACGTATTTCATCTTAATACGATATTGTTTTTTCAATTTCCTTATCTTTTTAATAAGTCTTTAATAAGTTTGTGGCACACGTAACAGAATGTGGTACGCTTGACGCATAGTAGTAAGCGTGACAAAACTGGAGAATTCGACAGGTAATGGAACCTTAATGATTCAATAGGTTTTGACATTTAAAAAAATTTCACGGCAAAAGTTTAATAACTCAGAAATTATAGAATTCTAATAATGCATTGAGAAAAAAATGTATGATCAAATCTACCAGAATATGGTAAAATTTACCTTGTTTTTGGCTCTTTGGAACACCAAAAATCATGGTAATTTTTACTAAAGTACTTTGATAAGAATAATAATAAAATATCGTTTTATAATATGTTATAAAATTTGGTAAAAGTGGTAAAATTTGGTGATTTTATCATGATATCTTATGGCATGACATAAAAACCATTTATTCGGTTAAATTTACTTTCCAGTTTTGAATTTT